AGCCCTGGGGAACACCATTTGTGACCGGCCATCAACTGATTTAACTCTGTTCACCACAACTCTTTGGGCCCGGCCATCCAGCCAGTTTTTTTACCCAGTGAAGGGTACGCTCATCCAAGCCATGAGCAGCCAGTTTCTCTAGGCGAATGCTGTGGGAAATGGTGTCAAAGGCTTTACTAAAGTCTAGATAGACAACATTCACAGCCTTTCCCTCATCCACTAAATGGGTCACCTTGTGATAGGAGGAGATCAGGTTGGCCAAGCAGGACCTGCCTATGGAGGAATAGGTGTGAGAAAAAGTGACCAAGCCCACCCATATTTGCAGCAACCTTGACTGGCCATTGTCTACAATACTTACCCTGAACAGTGACCTTTGACTTGGCAACATCAGTGCCAATATCACATGTGTATAAACCTGCATCTGTCTTTTCAAGGTCATGGATAAGGAGGCACAGAGTCTTCCCAGACTGTATCTGCTCATACTTGTTACCAGAAGTAAGCTTCACGCCATCCTTTTTCCAAACAGGTTTGACCTTCTCTTTGGAGACTTCACATTCCAGTTTAATCACACCTCGCTCCTCCCCAAAAACATCATCCAAGGACTTCATGAAGACAGCAGGCTTCTCTGAATTTTAATGGGCAAAACAGAGAACAACCAGAACATTCAAGTCAAGACATTTTCTGTTGCTACCAAATATTTAAAGAGAGCTTAAGTAAACCCTTGGCTATGCTGATGATACCAATGCAGAACCTAAAGCAGTCTCACACCTCATGATTGGAATGAGTTTTAGGGAAATCAGAATTTATTAATGGGAGGATACAGGGAAGGAGAGAGGCAGCCTGCATTGCCATGGATGGAGAGTGATATTCAGTGCTGTAATCGTGGCTTCTCTTATGACTGCACACCTATGAGATTGCAAGGGCTCATTTTAATCTGTGTTGGGGCATCCGTCAGGCACAGGAGATCCCATCACAGGGAATGGGGCTTGGAGCAGGCATGTAGGGCCCTAGTGAAGATCAGAGGGACAACGTCACGCTTCTATGGAATAGCTACTCAACAAGATAGGCTAGATTTTAAGGAAGCCCTTGTCTGCATTGTGGAGGAGCAGAAGATGTTCTCTGGGAACGTCCTTTCTCATTGCAGCAGTCTACAAGTCTACAAAGATGAAAACTGTGTGAAGAGCAGTAATTGGGATGTAGGTCTTCTAAAGCCAGAGAGCTGTCACTGCCTTTTCATGAAGCAAGATTCATACAGTAGGAGCAGCAGTAAAAGGATATGCTGCACATTCTCCTCAGCCTCCTGAACATTTTTGCTCTTGCCTCTTTGTTTTGTCGATTCCCTTTATCTATTTTAAAGTATATTTTACACAGAGGATATTTATACAGGGGAAATTTTTGACTAGATATGAAAGAAAGAAGGAAGAAGAAATCCTTCAGACTCACTGAGTGGATAGAGCAAAAGAGTTAAATTATTCAGATACTCTGGGAAGAACAAATTAATCATGATCAGGAGGAAAAATGGAAAGGAAATCAGAGAGATTATTCTCTAAGGGGGTGTGGAGGATGTCAGACTGATTTTCAGAGAATGGCTTAGAACATTTCCCACTCATGTTTCCACATACAGTAAGGAGTTAATTTAGGATAACAAATCACTGTGACTTACCTGAGCACGCATGTACATGTGTATTGCTAAAGAAAATGTGATTTTGAAATTTTGGTGAGAGTTTTACCTCATGTTTCTAACATGCCTAAAATAATTCACACAACTTACTGTGGCTTAGCTGATGCGCAAGATCATGTCGAACCACAGCAGTTCAAATTTTGGTCACACATCTAAGATATAGGAAAGACAGCAGCAAACTGCCTTCTCTTTGCTGATTCAGTCCAACTCCAGAACTGGTGTACTAAAGGTGTGCTCTACCCTTGGAAGTACACTGGAGTTCACCTCCTTGCAGACAAAAATCTTTAGAAACAACACTTTATAGACTGTATACTACTGAAGAGACCTACAAGTAAGGACATTGCTCTTGAGACTATCCTGATAAGCAAAAGCATGATAAAGAGCTATGGAAAGTTTTGTCAGGACGTCAAAACAATCCTCCTCAGAAAAATCATCAGCTACAGCAGAAAGTTACAGCAGAAGAAAACCCCTGCATGCCTATTGCTGGGTCCCAGAGAGGTGAAGCTTAGGAGCAGGATTGCTGCGTGGGTATTGTAAACAACAGCTCTTTTGCTTCTCTTGTTTACATTCAGGAGGAGTGTGATCATGACCCACCTATCACCTTCAGACGCACAGTCTCTGACACCTTGTCTGACTTCATTGTCACTGTACCAGCATCCTCAGGCTTGACCTGCTTCATCGTCAGCGTGTAGCAATTGCCAACGGTCCTGATGTCATTGAAATTGTTGGTGTAAAGGAGGGTGCCATTGAGGAACCATTCCACATCCTCGTCGTCATGGGACAGCTCACAGGAGAAGACAGCGGAACTCTCTTCTTCAATTTCCACGTCCTGCAGATGTTTGAGTACTTCTACATTGCGGGCTGTAGGAAACCAAAGTGCACCATCACCACTGTCACCATAAATCAGTACTGTTACCACAAATAGATTTCAAAGAGTTTACAGATTATTAGAATACTTAGTCTGGTCTCCTGTACACCATGGGTCATTACATTTCTGCATTTGGTCCACCAAAAACCATCCATTAAAAAGACTATATTGTCCAGGGCCCTCAATTCTCTTTTAACACATAAAACTGTTTTGCATTTTTTTCTTTTAATTTAAAAATAAGTACGTCTTTCTAAAATGACAATGACATTACAGTGATGCCTAAATAGCCCACAGAGCTCCAGTCCCTGTGTGCTTATCACTGCACGCACACACATTATAACTAAATTATCCCTGACTCACTGCCGGGGGAACACAGAGGATGAGATGAAGTCAAGGGATTTGGTCACAAACAACGAATATGAATAGACTGAGCAACTTGATCAGGTTTAGGGAGCAACAGGAATTTAATTTTTTTCCCCAGTCCCTGACCAGAGGTTTTTCTTTGCACCTTCTCCACCCATGAAATGCTGTTTCTCAAGGGCTAGCTAACTCAGGAAAGGGTTTTGGGAGTGTTAAGTAATTTCATCACTTGGATGAACTTCATCAAGGCCAAACTGTTACCAACAGTTGTTTCCTGGACTTGTGGAAATTATTCCACGGCTTACCTCCACGTCTTGCTGAAAGTGACACAGTGATCAACTTTTCTTACATTTCACCAGAGGTGAAGAACTGGCTAAAAACAGTGCCATGCCAGGATGAGGTAGAATATCATTATGAATAATAAACTTATAGTAGATATAGAAGCTGACACAGTGGTCAGGAAATGAAAACCACAACCGACTGAGACCATCAGAATCAGAGACTTGTAGCAGTTTAACATAAAGGACATTTTTAGCAAGAAGTACCAAAGAGTCCTAGTTCCTAGGATAATATGAACAATAATGTGCCTGGAGAAAGATGCATGGATTTCTGCCTTACTCAGGTGGTGCTCTTCCACATGCATTACCCGCTTCATGGTAAGTGCTGGATTTCAGTATCCTGGAATATCAGCACAGTGCATAATAGAATCATAGAATCACAGCATGGTTTGGGTTGGAAGGGACCTTGAAAGTCCGTCTCGTCCAAACCCCCTGCAGTGAGCAGGGACATCTTCAACTAGAGCAGGTTGCTCAGAGCCCCGTCCAGCCTGACCTGGGATGTTTCCAGGGACGGGTCATCGACCACCTCTCTGGGCAACCTGGGACAGCGTTTCACCACCCTCATTGTCAAAAATTTCTTTCTTATATCTATGCAACAGGCAAGCCCCCCTGCTGCAAACCGCTCATACCTTCAACGCTCAACGTGGCTTCAGTCTCGGCATTTCCAGCCCTGCACTTGTACACACCAGCATCTTCAGGCTTCACCTTCAAAATCTTGAGCTCTGCCGAATGCTGCTCCCTCTTGATTTTGTACTTCTCGGAGGACTCGATGGGTGTGTGGCCCTTGAACCACTTTACAACCTTCGGAGAAGGCTTGAAGTCACAGGACAGGATGACTGAATGGCGCTCCAGAGCTGTCTTGTCCTCCATCTTCCTGGTGATCTGTATGTGGTAATCTGCAAAGCAGGGTTGGGAAAGAAAAAAGGATGAATCTGAAGAAGAGGCAAGTTTCTAATCTGTATCTCATGCCAATTAATTTCATGGATGTCGTTCACAACTGTTTTGTGAACTGCTCAGATGGTGTTACAAGTTTCTGTTACAGAGCTGACATGCTTTGAAGCTAAAACGCCATGATGATCTGTAGGGAATGCTGGTTTTTATAAGATAATACTGTATATTAAAAATCAAATGCATGGTCAAGTTCTGGTTCAGTGCTTACTGAATTGCTCTCTAATTGAGTTTTTTATTCAAGTAAGTGCAAATTAAAGACAAAACAAGGACTTCAGGATGTGATTTGAGATATTTACAGTGGTGACAGTAGAAGATAAAAAGCCTTGAAGCTTTGCCCCAGATCAAGTCAATGACAAAGTGGATTAAGTATATGAGCTATCAAACTTGTCTAGTTCAGAAATGGGACAAAATAAACTCTTCTGGCAAATTTCATCTGTTTTTTCCTCTTTGGGAAAGTCAAGAAGACAAAAAAAAAAATCAAAAAACAAACAAACAAAAAACCCAGTCTTAGCTTAATAGATTTGAATACCAGGCACACCAGACTCATTTAATCAGATCCCTTCCTAACACATTGCTGCCTCATTTCATGCAGCCAACATTGCACCCAACAGTTTGTAACTGGGAACTAAGCAAATCTTCATACACTTCCAAGACCCCAGCCAGTGGAGCCTGCGCATTAGACAGTACATATATAAAATTTACTTTCCAGAGACTGTGAGGAAAAGGATCTCTCATAGTTTAATTCAAGCCAGGACATAATCACATTACCTCTGACAAGCAGGTTTGCTGTGGATTTTGATTTGCCAATGGAGAACTGAACGGTGCCTGACATATCAGCACTGGTTTTCACTATTGTCAGACGGTGGATGGTGCCTTCTTGCTGCATGATAATGTTTCTGCCAGCCTGTAAGACTTCTCCACGGAGAGACCATTTGGGGGGTTTCACTGATGGAATGGATATCTCACATTCAAACTTGGCTTCTTCAGGCTCAGTCACATCCTCATCACATAACTCCTTTACAATATTAATGGATTGCTCTGGATGAAGGATGGAATGAGAAAGTAGGGATTTAGGACTCATGAAAGAATTCTCTCATTAGCATCCTGCACACTCATGTCATCTTTTCTGGATTTGAATACTGCACTTACTGGCTCAAAAGGCCTTAAAACACCCTTTTTTTCTATAAAAATAAACATATATTGCTGGTCACAGGTCCGATAGTGAGTCTGTGACACAGCCTCAAGAGAATCCAGATCTCCTGATTCCCAGTCCTATTTCTAAAGCCACCTCCCTATACTGATATCAAACACTTGGCACTATAAAATGGAAAAGAAGGTTCACTGAAATGCAGATGTTGATAATAGGAAAGACTTTGGTTAACTACAGCAAGTTTTCTCCAAACAACAAACTTTCCCCAGCACATCTGATAAACTTTTCTGAAAAGGAATTTCATCACTTTCCTTAGGAGAATATACCATATATTCATTTTACAGGGTGTTCCTGCACTTATAATCCTAAAAGGAATCAATATCAGTGGACTTCAAAATAAATCAACACTGAATTAAAATACTTTTTCAGTGGTATTTCGTTTTGAACGTAAAGAAAGACCAGGGCTTTTTGAATTAGCAAGTCCTCCTTCCAGTGCATCCTAGAGGGGAAAAAATAGTTTACTACCTTCAACAAAGAAATTAGCGCTGCTTTTGTCATCAAAGGCATCACAAGTGTATGTGTCCTCATCTTCATAATCTGCGTCGTTGATGATGAGTTTCCGATAGACACCATCACTCACTATTTCGTATTTGTCACTAGGGTGAATTTCAACATCCTTTTTATACCATTTAACTTTGGCATTGGCACGAGACACCTGGCACTCCAGGAATCCCCGATGTTTTTCAAGAGCAATCTTATCTCGCAAAGGCTTCACAATTTTTACAGGCAGCTCTGAAAGGAGTAAAAAAGGTGGAATAATCAGTATAGTTTCCATGAAAAGTGCCAAATAAAAACTCATTAGCAATATTTCTTTTATGTTCTGTTATTTGGATGATGGGAATCCCCGCTGTGCTAAGCATCCAGCTAGCACACAGCAAGTGAAGAGCTAATGAGAGGAAAACTTTTTATCCCTATTTTACCACTTGGATGGCTGAACTGCAGAGATAATACTGCAGAACTATGCAAAAGCCAGGGAGTGATCTCAGATTTCCTGAGCTCCTCATCAGTGTGTTAATTTAAATGTCTTCCTTCACTCTGTCGCTATCACACTGTTTAAATTAAACACACAAAAAAATGCTGTATTCTTTTTAAATGTAGACCAGAAAGAGGAAACGCAGGAGAAAGTCAAGCTTTTTGTCCCTCAAATTCAAACACGATTATTAATGTCTTGAGGTATAAAACAAACCTCCTGTGTTATTTAGCAAAAGTAAATTCCCAGGCTGATATTTCACATGCAGTAAGGTAGGTGGGAGTTTTTCTTTCCCTGAAAGCTTTAGGTGTTGTTTAATTTTCTTCATGTTAAAAGTGAGGGAAGGTGATTGGTTTGTAACTTGAGAGAGGTTAAACAGTATTGGCATGAAAAGTTTAATTACCCTTTACAGTAAGCTGGGCACGAGATTCTGCCTTTTCTGCTACAAATTTGATCTCTGCTGCATCTTCGACTTGGACACGCGTGTACGTCAGCGAATAGGTCTTTCCTGAGAACAGACACACAACCAGACATAGCTTCCCGTGAGCAAACCGCTTCACGCTCCGAGGCACACTGCCAGGTTGAGCATCGCTCATCTGGTTTCAGTGCATCACCACCTGCTCCCACGGCAGCAAGGCTGACCCTTCCCCGGTGTCTATGTCCCTGTATCAAAGGATAATTTAACCTCAGTTCCTCCAAGGGCTGATCGAAAGTGGTCCCCACCATCTGGAAAGCACTTGAAACAGAAGGATCCCACCCACTGTCAGATGATACAAGTTCCTTCCCACGGCTGGCAGCATGGGGTGGTGGGATGACACCCAATTTACCTTATTAAAGTTCCCCCCATGTCACTGTCCCAGCCTAGTTGCAGCCCCAAAACAAAAGAGGAACTCTCTGCTAAACCTTCTTAATTTGATTTTGAAGGTCAGACCTTCTGCCTTGTCTCCAATACCAGCACCTACTCCAACCCATCCGCATTCAAGAATGAGATCCCCTTTTTTCATCTTACCGTCTTGACGCATTCTAATATTGTCGGCAGCCTTCAGCTTGTTGTCATTTTTGTACCATTGGGTTTGGACCTCATCATGTGAAATCTCACAGACGAAGGACGCACTCTCATATTCATTTACTTCCACATCTTCCAGTGGTTTAACAATCTTGATATCTCGGGCTGTGATATTATAGAGACAAATATTTTTTTGAGGTTTCTCCATAACCGAGCACAGTGTGTTCACCTTCTGCATATTTGCATGGAAAAAGTGGGATTGTATTTTATTCTAGACCAGCCTCCCTTCCTGTGTGGTTTTGTTCTTCAACACATTAAATATATTTTACGCTTGAACCTACAAGTAGAATCACCAGCCACAGTGGAGCTCACTGCAAGAGGATTTTATGGATGCTGAAATTTTATACAGGTTTTATAAAAAGTTAAACATATTAACGAAAGAAAATCTGCCAAGGAAAACTAAACACAAGCCTACAATCTCTTGTGTCACTATAAACCTCTCTCATTCACATGCTTCTCTGCACACTCTCCTTTTACTCCCCGGCTTGTGTGTCGGGACTGTATCAGCCACGGGGACCTCAGCCACGTGTTTTACCCGGAGGGTACCTTTGCTTCAGAGTTCCCTGAGCTCAGAATGATCCTCTTCGGTTCTGCAGCTTTGCACTAATTTATTATTAATTTATTTGACACATATTTGTGTGCTACTGCAGCCCTTTTTCCTTTTTAAAGGGAAGGCCTTGATACACCATGGATCAGCCTCGGGACCAGCTCCGATGCAAACCAGTCAGCATTCAAACAGCAACCCATCCCAATCACAAAGTCCAGGAGAAAAGGGGGAGTTCAACAGAGCAACGGAACAGGGCAGATGTTCATGAGGATGTTGCTGAACCCAAGTGGCCACATGAGGACAGCATCTAGTAAGCAGTAAGAAAGAGCCGATTTGTCTTTTCAGATGCCCCTCTGGAAAATAACATCTGCCAGGGCACAGCAGACCTGTCCATTCAGTAAGTGGCCTTCACCACTAGCTTATCTCTGGTGCTTCAGAGCCTGGTTACAAAACACATCTGGCACTTGACCATGCACAGTGCAACACGTGGAAGGAAAAAAACGTCTTGAGCATAAAGGAGAGATGCAGTCAGAAATCCTGACACGTTCCTTAGCATTTACAACATAAAAAGTCGGGTACATCTTGAGAACATACCCAGGGCTTGTCCAGTCCTATTCAGCCAAAGTCCCCCTGTGACAAGGGCAGAAGCTAAACCAAACCATGTGCACACCAGCCATTGAATCTCTGCTTTCTGCCAGGCTGTCCGGTATTTGCCAACTTCCCAATACAGAAACAACATTCCCATTCCAGAGGAAAGAAATCACTTATGATAAATGGAAAAATAACACCTGTTCCAGAAATACTCCTCTAAGGCTAAAGCAAGCACAGGACAGCTCTGCCAGCACTTTCTCACTAGAAAGAGAAAGTTATCCAAAATGAGTAATTGTGAAATGCATGAAGCATTTCTTGCCAAAAATACTTGAGTAGATGTAATTTCCTTCTTCAGTCAAACATACCGTGAACCTTTAGGGTAGCTGATGTCTTGTCTTTAGCTGCTTCACACGTATAGGTTCCCTGGTCTTCATATTCACACTTTTGAATAATGAGGCTTCTCTTATTTCCCTGGGAACTAATCCCCACTTTTTTACTTGGCCGGAGCTCCTTTCCGTCCTAGAAGGGAAAAGGCCAAACCAGATCACCATCAACTCTTCTGTGTCTGCACCAAGCAAAACAAACATTCAGATCTGTGCTTAATTCACTGTCTCACTGGACTTAATGGAGCTGTGCTTACTCGAACATATGCTGAAATTTAAGCGCAGCGCAAAGTTTTCCAGAAGTAGGAATGGCTGAAGAAGATGCATAGCTTTTGGTTGACCTAAGACACCTATCTGAAGGCTTAAGGCACCATGCAGGGTTGGCAACAAACCCCTTCAGACATTACCTTGAAGAAATGCTCCCCATTTAAGGGAAGTATCAGCTGAGCCTCAAGGAAGGTTCATGAAATGCCTGAACTGATCTCCAAAAAGGTTGTCAGGTGAAAGGGAATTGAGGCTTCACCTTAAATCACAGTTCCCAAGGAGGCCATCTCACCATCCTGGGTGAGAACTGCTAGGTGTGAAGAGAAGCACAAGACTGCACTGCCATCAACAGCAGAGCTCACATTCTGCACAAGAGCAGCTCAGGAGTTCACTATAAACTCAAGAGAAGTTTAACTTTCAACCTGATAAATGCACACAGTAAATAAATAACACTGAGCACGATGAACTGGGCAAGTAAAGAACATAAGGGCAAGAGAGCAATACTAAGAGCTGTATAGCAAAGACTTAGACTCACATCCCCTGGAAATGAAATTAGAGGCTCTCACTCCCTTCCAGAGAAGGCAGAAATTAAAACACCACTGCTAAATGCTGTACCTTGAACCACTTAACATCCACGTTGGGCCTGGACAGCTCACACTCGAATGTGACCTTGTCTTTCTGAGTTACACTGATGTCTACCAAAGGTTTGCTGATTCTTACAGGCAATTCTGCAAAAAAAAGAAAGTCCAGTTAGTGAGGATTTAGATCTCCAGGACCACCTGGCACAAGGAATAATGAATAGACAGAACCGAGCTCCGATGTGTAATAAAACTTGTAACAAGATCCTATTCTGAGCACATTATCATTAGTTGTTCTGTGAATAATAATGTTACAATAATCCTACTGACGTTAGAAGGATGATGGTCCAGTGCTAAACAACCTTTGTGGTTACAAAGAAAGCTTGTTGCTCTCTTTAAAGCTTGTTCTCTGGATGAGGAGAAGACAACCATGTCCCACACCAACCAGTACCTGCCACAGTGAGCCTCCCTGATGAATGAATGCCATCTGCTTTGAAGGAGATAAGTCCTGCATCCTCAAGAGCCACTGAAGAAAGAGTCAGTGAATGTTTCTTCCCCAGGACATTAATACTGATATTCGGTGCAGGCTTCAGCCGAACGCCATCCTTCTGCCAGGTCCCTTCCACGTCCTCATGCGACACCTCCACCTCAAAGGTGACGGTCCCTTTCTCAGAGACTTCGAGAGGCTGAAGGCCTTTCACCAGCTTGATCTGCCTCACTGAAAATACACATGGACAAGTTGTAGAACTCACACCAACAGCTGTGAAACAGCCTGAGGACTTAAAAAATAGATTACTTCCCTGTTCCTCATGCAGGTACCTGTCAATTAATTGGTATCTGCCAATTAAACACCCACCTTTGCAGGAAATAAAACTTCTCCATGACCACACTGATAGCATGGCTGTTATTCCTAAAATGGATGCTTTCAGCTGGGACAAACAAGTCAACCAAACATTGCAGAAAAAGGGCAAACTGGCCCTTTTTCTATCAAGGTCCACCACACTCACTGTCTATGCCAGAAATGAGCTTTGAAGGTGCACACACACATACAGGAGTAGAGGCATTCCTGTCCTGGGTGAGGTGGTCACCAATAACCATCACGAAGAAACTCTCGAGAAGAAGGTAACACTGTTGGTATTTACACTGGGACCAGGCTCCCTGTGCTGCGCAAGGGAAATGTTGCCGAAAATATTTATTCAGGTGTGGTTCAAGAGAAAGGAGATGATCACTAGGGACTAAGAGAGCATAAAGGAATAAACAACTTTGTGCAGTTCTTCAACTACGATAACACAAGGGAGGGAGGGAAGTAGCAGGGAGAGGAAAAAGCTTTCAGTAAAAGGGGAAAAAAAAATCCATTACATGATGTGAAGTGTGCTGACACCTCACGGCTTGGGGGAAAAAGCATCTATGTTTTGAGCGGATAGTACCTGTTCCTACTACAAGACATCAATGCCATATCAGCCAGTAAAATGGATTTAGTGTTTAAACTTGTCTCACCCTTAAAAGAAATTAAGTTGCCAATTAAAAAAAACCACCACCAACAAAAACACCTCTACAGAGCCATGAATTAGTCATAAAAACCTTCAACTCCCTGTGGGTCCCCTGGGAATATTTCGACCTTCTTACTGCACGTTTAGCAGGATAATCCACATTCAGCCAGGATCTGAATGCAAACACGACCAGGAGTGGGCTGTGAGCTCTGTTCTGTGGTCCTGGTCTGGACGCAGCTCCTGGGCTGAGGACACCACAGCCTCTCTGAAGCTCAAACATCTCCTGATGGCACGTCCTTACACCACATGGGGGACAACACAGAACAAACTATTTCTCCAGAGATCCCACAGGGGTGATACGAATATGCTGTGGCTTTATTAACACACTGGGTAGAAGCACAGCACTGTCCTCCCCAGGAAGGCAGCAGCAGACTCCATGCAGTGCCATCCCCTTACACCTTTCCTGTCCGCCTTGTTGCTTGTTACACCTCACAGCAAGTTTAGAGAGGAGCATTCGCACCTTTTGCAGGATCCTGCCTAATTCCTCTCTCAAGAGAACCACAATGATTCCTCTCTCACAGTCTTCTCCAAGGTCACAACCACTTAAGCACTAACTTGCCCCAAGGACGTGCCTTGAACCAGGCAAATGAGGGAAGTACCGACACTTCCAGGAGCTTGTTCTTTGCTTCCCAAACTAAGACACCAGCTCTCCTGGCTTTGCTCACTAGAATTTGCATCAATCCCCAATTTCTGATCTAATTTTGCAGACAGTCCCTATCTCCTCGAGGTATCTCATTCTCTTAAACTGAACACAGTGTACCTGCTACTAACCTTTCCCCTAGGTTAATAGACATTCCAACCCCTCAAACAGTGAATGGACCAAGGATCAAACTGA